TGTTGTTGTTGTTGTCGTTGTTGTGGGTGCTGGTGGTGGTGCTGTTGCTGCTGGTGGTGGTTCTGTTGCTGCTGCTGCTGTTGCCGTTGCTGCGTGTTTTTTTGTTTTTTTGTTGTGTGTGTAGTTGTTGGCGGTGTTGGTGGTGGTGGTGGTGGTGGTGGTGGTGGTGGTGGTGGTGGTGGTGGTATATAGCGGTGGTGGTGGGTTTGGTGTTTGTGTTGGTGTTCTTGTTGTTGTTGTTGATGTTGTTGTTATTGTTCTTATTGTTTTATTGTTTCGTTTATCGTTTTTCGATGATACTGTCATCATTATTTGTATGGTTGCTGTGCAGCTCTTATTGTCATGTAAAGCTTTTATTGTTATCCGTGTTGATGTTGCTGTTCTTGTTTGTTGATTGTTGTTTCTTGTTATTACTATTGGTATTGTTCTTGAGACTGTTATTGTTATTTCTGTTGTTGTTCCCCACCCTTGGTGTGGGGTTGTTAGATTTCAAAGTCAGCTATTACTCCTCGCCCTCTGAGACTACTTCCTGGAGTGCCCAACCCCACAGACCACCGTGAGACTCCCTTGTGCCCCCACAGACTACCGTGATGGTGGGGATGTTCGAAGTAAAATAAATGCGTTTGTTGTGCCTGCAATCATTTGCTGTATGTGTTGTTGGTCCGTTTTAGTGCTGATGACTCTGACGGTCTTGAACAGACTGGCGGCAGCTTCTCCCAAGCAGCAGTAACGGACCAACAAGCTCGCAACTGCACGTTGATGATGCATTGATTGTAGCAAATCCTTTGGTACGTAGCACAAAGCAGTAAAGTGTATCGCGAGGGGCAAGTTACTCCGTCCCAGGCATAAGTTACCGGTCCATGACTCCTCGTTTTGTTTCAGATCGCTCCATGAATGGTTTTTGTATTTCTTAGTCGTAGAATAGGTAACCTTTAACCGCTTTGGGGCACTGTAAACCGGCAACAATCCCCAAGGTTAACTTTTAAATCCTCTTGAAATACTGGAGCACTAGTTTCGACGGACGTCAGCCGTTAAAAAACTTGCGGTGCAGTTAGCAATGCAGCGGCAAAACAAAGCAACAGCTGTACGAATATCTTTCGCAGTATGGCAGCGTGTCACCCAATCAGGATGCGAGCCATGCGGGCGCAATCGCTGCCATATCTGCCGTGGTTGCTAAGCCCATCGAACAGCACAGTAAAGCTTCAGCCACGGAGTACTGCAGCGTTTGCCCAAGGCCGAGACTTTTGTTCCAGAGTTGTATACCCGCCGGAGTTGAAATGTCACCCCTTCGCTTGACGAACGGAAGGTTGACAGGTTCCTACGGTGTTTCTTTCGGTCTGCGGTCTGCAGGTTTCAGATTTCCCGCAACAGCTTCTTCTTCGGTTGATAAGCTGTGCTAGTCGATGCCGCCGATGACTTTCGGGAATCTGCTGAACTTGAGACGACTTGAACCGAAACAAGGAGCACACTCGTGATTAGTCACACGATCTTTGTTTGCGCCACTTTTTTTGGATTTGGCATAGCAGCACAGGCCTAGGTATGTCAGTCCGACATCCATAGAGTTTTTCGCGTCCTGCATGTCAGGAGTCGGTTTCATGCCTCTCGCAGTCCCTTCTACTCAGGACCAATTCACGGGGCAGGTTTGGGTGCTAGATCTCACTTCAACGTCGTGCGGCAGCGGCTGTAGAGTTGTGGGCTTTTCGTGCCGACTGAAGTCCTGTGAGAAGTCGAGCCACCCTGCGGCGACAATGCGTTTTTTGAGCGATGCCCTCACCGGCATGGAGAAGGTGTTTGGGTTTGTGTGATTGGCTTCTCAGGTGAGACCTGCCCCGACTTGCCTGTGGCAGGGTACCGACTCAGGCTGGAAGTTTGCGAGCTAGATTAGATAAGGCTTTAATTAAGGCCGAAATCCAAAAGTTGAGTATTTAGGAGCTGGGATTCTGCTACACAACTGAAAGAGCATCCCTTGAGAGCTTCAACAACGCCGGAACTTGGCACGGCAACTCTGACACAATTCCAGGGCTTGTGACCCGACAGATGCTGCGCTCGATGGTTGAGTGCTAAGACAGGGGCCTCAACGTGTAGTAGTAGCATGATTCGTTCAAGACGGGTTCAGAGTCAAATAGTCCTGCTCAGCAAGGTTAGCAGTGCCGGCATGTATTCTTTCTGTGTGGCTTGGAAATGCTTGGAAATCACACGAGCAACATAGAGCTTTGTCCAGTTGCATGGTTGTTGCAGGACCTACATACTTCTTAGAGACAGGCTGTGAAAGAACCCGAGCACACCTAGGCACCACTCCCCTCGTAAGCTTTTGGGAGCCCTGCAGAAGCCGTGGAATCCTGTCCTTTCCGACAGGCATAGCATCGCCCCCAACAGAAAACGAAAGACGCCCCTGGTCCCAGTCTTCAAACCATAAATAAAGTGTAGAACTGTAGCATTGACCTGTCGTGATCAGGTTGCGGATAAGCAGGCTTTTGGTTTCCGGTGCTTGCACCGCAACAGAACAGGTACTGGAGCATCCTCTCCCAGGAGGACTGCCGACGCTCGGCACGCAGGGATTCCACAAAGAGTGCTTGCGAAAACCCTCCAAGTTGATGCAGGTTCCTAGGCCAATCATTTGTGTGCAGGCATCATGGGGGTCGAGGGTCGCCCTGCTCGTGCACAGATACACTTTCCAAGCACAATCACAAAACCTGAACGACTACACCTGAATCGTAGACTCCATTGCGATTAAGGATATGTGCAGATGCACCATGATATCGGATTGGCCGGCAGCTCAGTCTTGGTGTTTGACACACTCGTAGCCTTTTTGGGGCTTGTAGTGGTTTGTTGCCTGTTTCTTCTGCCCTTGCAGGATGGAAGGAAGCGAATCCTGCCAGCCCTCTAGCTTTAATGTTGCGGCCATACCCAGAGCAGCAGAAACTGCAAATGCTGCCTGGCAAGAAGCCCTGTGCCACCGGAGTTCCGAGCCATAGCCATAGCGTTCAGGCTGCGTTCTTGCAAAGAAAGCCACCTGAAACTCTACACACAGCACCGAGGCATGTAGAGAAGTGACTGGAAAGGCACCTGCAGTGTCCCACGCGCTTGGGGAGTGACAGGGCTCGGGCGTCTGAAGGGTGTTCTTCAGGTTTGTTGTGAATAGGGTTTAGGATTTAGGGTTTATACCTTAAACCCTACATCCTAAACCCCAAACCCTAAAAGCCTTTATAGGGTTTTTGTAAAAGTGACATCGTGTTGGGACGGGGAGTTGTCCACAGAGTCAAGATCCGACCACATTGGCGTCAAGTTGGGTAAATACAAACGTGCACCGGAACGTGGGCAGGGGATCAGGTCACTTTAGGCATATGATACCGGGTTTCTGTTGAACTTAATCAGCCCGAGACCTTAAACAGAGACGCCTTTTGGGTGTGGACCCACTTGTCGGTCACAAACAAGGTGTCCGGCGTTGCAAACTCACAAAGCACCAGGGTATCAGACTAACCCTGTACCCATCCCACCGCACACGCTCATGAACCTTGTCGCCACCTGCTAACTAATTAGCCGTGAGCTACGGTAAAACCTGATTCATTCCCGTCGTTAGCCAGTCGCCAAGAGATTGCTAAATCGGGTTGTTCAGGATAGGTGCCCCTTGTCGGATAGCAGAAGTTGGTGCGGGAGCATGCAGGCAGAACCTGAACTCGAACAACATCCGTGCTTCAGCGAGCTGAACTATCTAAAAAAAAAAAACAGAAACCTGGAAGCCCCATCCAGCCCGAAATGCGGAGCACCAGACCCTCGACACGCTAAACCCGACAAGTGCAGGGCCCCGAGCTTCTTGATGACATCTGGGGCAGGGGCCCCAGAGCTCCCGTGTCAGGCATGGACGGTGGCATACCGACACCACGAAGCCCTACAAATCACAGTAAACGTCTTGAAACATATCGTAAACTCGGCTTCGAAAAAGTCAGGCTTCTGGAAGTAAAACCCTTGTATTCGCTTTGCAACAAGGGGTGGACCTCCGCCGCAGCATGCTTCATGGACTCGGCACTTTGGGGGAGCAGAAGACAAGCTAAGGGCTCGGGGATAATCTCACGGGCGGAAGGCTCAGAACGTACATAGCACGGCAACAAGCCCGATTCCGACATCGGCAAGTCTAAGCCCAGATGATTCAGAGGCCCGAGACCATGAACCCTACCCGGTGGGGGAACCGAAGGCTCTTGCCGACCCGCCGGACTTGTCATTTAAGTCTAGCTCTCGGGTTTGGTACCTGTAGCTTGTATTTGCACTCTGTCTGGGGGTTGTAGGACTTACTGAAGGCAGGTGGCGATGGATTTGGCTTAAAGGGTTCGGAGGGGATGGTCTCAAAGTCTCGGCGGGGGGAGGGGGGTGGGATTGAGCGTTCGTGCGTTGAAGGGCTTCGGAATGTTTCGAGTATTTGGTCCGGTTTAGATACGGCAATAAGTTGCGGGGTTGCAAGGTTTCCACAGAGCGGTGTCGGCCCTATTCGGGGGCTTTCCTCGAAGTTGGAAATCGGACTCTGATGCTGCATTATGACTCGGATTGATATCTTTTCGGCTCTTGCTACGACGATTATGATCATGACTACTGAGATACTACTGTCACTGTCGAACTATTGTCACTACTTTTAGCATTATGATGTTTATGCTTGTTCTGACTAGTGTTATGCACATGAGAAGAATTACCTTTAGACTGGTAACTGTTGCGGCTCCGTCCAAGCAGAAATTTTCAGATCAAAGCGATGTTTGGGAGTTGCTCGTTTCTGCAGAGCCTGAAGGATCCATCAGACTAAAGACGGCTCACCTGAAACCCAATCGCCTAAGCATTGTGGCTTCTCGATAGTTTACTGCCACAAACCTCAAGAACAAGCTTAACTGTTAGCTGAGCCCGAAATCAATGTTGCAAAGGCCCCGATTCCAGCAGTGCCCGGACCTTTCAGCCTTGTGTTTCGGGTTGAGACGTTGGGTTTTTGTGGTTGTGAGTTCAAATTGGATATGTTAGTAGGGATTCTTCCGGTACCTTTTCGTTAGGAGATTTGGAGTGTATGCGCCTTGCATTCAGGGGCCCAAATGCTTGCCAGCAGGGGCAAGCTTGCTGACCTTGGCATTTCCTCCAGTCCTCCAGCCAAAACCCCAAAGCCCAAAAAGTGTTGTTCTGCAGCTCGACAGGACATCCATATATAATCCCAAGCACCCGCACCTTGCCAGCATATAAAACCCCCAATGCAAAAGCCTCCCAAAATCGCAACCTCAAGCTCGCCGAACCTGAGCCTTTAATTCAACCACCCAAACCTGCAAACCCAGCCGTCCCAAAGCTCAAGCCCCAGACTTAATTGCAACAGCGATGTAGCCCCTTAAACGACTTGCTACAACTTATCAAATGCCAATGCACCCTACCGCCCAGCTGCCTGCCTAACTACCCTACACAGTCTTGTCTGCTACGGAGTTCTAAACCTTCAAACCATACACCCGCACACTGCCAATCACTGCCAGAGTAAAGCTTTATAGGGTTTAAGGTGGGTTCAGGGTTGAGGGTTTAGGCCCTTAACCTCTTCTGGTGAAAATAAATGCGCGGCGAGCCGGCATCGAACCCGCAGATTTTCACTCAAGAGCAGAAGCTCTTCCACTAGGCTAGCTGCTCCGTGTCCTGTGTGTTTAAGCGCTAAGGTTGTCGTATATGTAAAAAACGGGTGGCCCCGCCCGACCCCTCACACAGTTGGTATATTTAGAAACAGTCACCGCAGAACCTTTTGCTACAGTCTGTAGAAGCTTGACAAGTTTTTTGAACCTCATACCCTCCAAACCTCTTCCGAAAACCCTTCTGAAACCCCCCAGTTGCCTGAGCCCTGAAGAGCTCCGGGATTCCCCAAGCCTAACCATATAGGGTTCAGGGTTGAAAAGGGGGATTACTACCAAAATGTCCTGCAACCCAGTAGCCCATGATTTAGGTAACTGGAGCCGAAGGGGACGCCAGTAGCCAGCCAGACTCCTAGACGATCGAGGCCGTCCTGAAGTGGCTGATCCCGGGGAACACCTACGTCTTCCAGGCCAGTCTTGCTTGTTTTTGTCTGAGGTTTTAGATGGTGTTTAGGGTTTTTTGGTGTTATAGGGTTCAAGTATGTATCTACGACGACTGCACGAGTGAGTGAGTGAGTGAGTGAGTGAGTGAGTGAGTGAGTGAGTGAGGTGAGTGATGAGTGAGTGATGAGTGAGTGAGTGAGCGAGCGAGTGATGAGTGCGTGAGTGAGTGAGTGAGTGAGTGAGTGAGTGAGTGAGTGAGTGAGAGAGTGAGTGAGTGAGTGAGTGAGTGAGTGAGTGAGTGAGTGAGTGTGAGTGAGTGAATGAGTGAGTTGCTGTGTGCGTGTGGTGGTTGTTGTCACCGTAGTCGGTGTTACTGTTGCATGGGGTTTCGAGCAGCTGCTGACCTGACGCAGAGGACCTGTGATGCAAGATAGGGGTTTCAGCAATCGGATTCAGGATTTTCGGTCTGGGTTCTTGTCCAGAAGTCGTGGCGTCGTGGTTTACATCACAGATGTCTGTCCGGCGGCGCAGGCTTTCGAGAGAGGTCTCACGGCATTTGGAACTCGAGGCTGAGCTGACAATGTACTTCGACCCACCCTGCGGCTCCAGTAGTGTCGCGACGACTTTGGGAACATATTCAGCGGTGTGCGTTCTCATCTCAGAATCGCCAGAGAAGCCTGTAGACACTGTATATAAGCTAAAGAAGCTCTTGCCCCGCTCTGGGCAATGCCTATGTTTACATCCCCCAGGTCAAAAATCCCAGAAGAAAGCACCCACGTTGATACACCGAAATGAATCGTGGCACCAAAAAGGTAGGAGTCCGTCAAGATCAATCTTGAGCCGTAAGCGTCATGTGCATGGTAGGTTCCGGGATGTCACCCCGGTCTTGGTTTATCTGGCCGGTTTCTGAAACAGAAGTCTCGAATGAATGTCGGTTCACGGCACCGCACAGTCGCCACTACCTTTTGCAGCTGAGTCGCTCGGCTCCTACATCACCCTTTGCTAAATACCACGTCACATATGTCGATCTTGTCCCCCGCTCGCCCGCTTGAAGGACTCCACCGCGGCGAGGGATAGGTCATGCGTCAAGCTACATGTGTTGAGGAGGATACTTCAGATCCTCCGTGATTCTCCCAACCGGGCAACCTGTAGCACCGTCTAGCCTGTAACCAACCTTACCAAAAAGAACCCTGAACACCTACACAAGCACACCAAGAAATTAACCCTGTGTACCCTTGATCAGTGCTGTGCTCGAAATCACCTGTCACAAGTGAGTCCTGGAGCTCCATACACCGTTAAGTATCGTTGAATGTTCCAGGTGATGGCCTTCAACGTCTCCGGTGAAGGTGACTGGTCGGCGCGGAGCCAAGCACCAGGTAGTTCCTGGGAAATCTTGGTCGGCAGATCCGATGCGTATTCGGGACACGAAGTTAGGAACACAGCGTTTCGCGGAACTGTGGGTGTTTGTGGGTACGCTGTTGACTATAGCGCAGGTTAATACTGCCCTTCAAGTGTTCTGTTGCCTAAAAAGGCTTCTTCCAGCAAATTACAAGGTGAGCATGGATTGTTATCAGTACCGTAGCGACGACATGGCAATGTATGACAACGGCTGCACGACGGCAACCACGACCTATTCCGCTGCTGCTGCTGTTCGTGTTGCCCAATCTGACCTGTTTTCTACTATGTTGCCGATGGTCGTCTTTGCCATCACAAACACGAATCATCATCCCAGTCGTTGCGCGGTCCATCAACATGAAAACGGCGTTGATGATCATTCTCATGTTGAAGAGGGTGGCACTGTTGACGATGAGTCACTAAGTATGTGCATCTAGAGATGTTGTATATACACATATCACATATATACCACATTCACGTATGTGTTTGCTTTTGTTGGTCACGGTTGCCATTTCTGCAAAATTGAGCTGGTGTCCGTGATCGGAAGTATGGACAGCTTGCTGGCAGCATGTTTCTCAATGCAGTGCTGCGCAGGAAGCGTCAAGGCCATTCATCATGCCAGAGAGACCGGCTGCTCGGTATGTCAAGGGGAAGCCACCCTTAGGCGTTTGTCGTTCTTTTGGGGTTCTACTGTAGGGTTTGAAAGTGGGGGCGTCTAGTTATAAGCCCGAGAGCATCCTGACTGACAGCGCCACACACCCTACTGCACGCACGTAGCACATGTCCCACGACACCCAACTGAAAACTGCACAAGACAAAGGCTCTGTAGGGCCAGTGCTTGTCAAGTCGTACGTTTCAGACCCTCCTGACCCTAAGCTTAGCTCGAAACCCCTACACCCTCAACGCTTCAACCCTCAAGCCCTAAACCGAGCGGAGGATGTGTAGGGAAGGAGTTCAGGGCTACAGCTTAGGGAGTTGCTTTTGGGGTTTGGCCTGTCGAAGAATCAGACGCTCGAAGGGTGCGATGAGCATGATGCATCTCGCGCCCTACTGATACCTTAACCCTCCAGGTACCTACTATATAGGGTGCTAGAGCCCCTAGGGCCCTATATAGATCCTATAGAGTAGGTACCTGGAGGGTTCGGGATCGTGTTATGAATCGAGGCTTTGGCGGTTGCAGAGGTCCTCAGGCGCTCTAAGCTCGGGTGTAGGTGTTGCGGTCTTATGACAGGTCTTCGAATTTTAGAGACTAGATGCTCGCTACCACGACTCCCCTACACCGGAAACCCCGCGCAAACCCTAAAAGCCCTAAATTTCAAATTCTAGCGACTAAGCCCTAATTACCCCCAAAAATTAAGGCCTTCTATACTCCTCCTCCTTTTAAGGATGGCCTGGGCATGGAGTCTGAGGAGGAGGAGCAGGTTCCTGAGCCTCCAGATGTCCGGTGCCCGGAGGGCCTGGGGTTTAGGGGTTTAGGGTTTAGGGCTTACCTGTAGTCTCCATTGTAGTTCCTTTTTGGTGATACTTTATAAAATCCTTAATATGTAATTGGTTAAACCAAAAAAAGGAACTACAATGGAGACTATAGGTAGGCTTAGGGCTTAGGTTTAGGGTTTAGGGGCTGTGGCAATGGTACTAACAGGGTGAGGGCACCCTAAGGATGTTTTGGCTCATCCTTAAGGGTACGAAGCCCTCTTATGAAGGGGGCCAAAAGGGTTTCTTCAACAGTTTAAGTTAAAACTTAAGGATACTTTTAGAGACTTATTCACGGGTGCTGCAAGGGTCTCTCTGAAGGGACTTTGCGGTTTCTGATTTTTTGAGGGTCCAGCAAGGTTCCTTTTGAGGGTTCTACAGGTGTCCGTTTAAGGGCATGGTAGATTATACTGGGTTTGTCTAATTAGGGCACGGCTAGGGTTTCTTACTGCCGGAAGAATCGGGGACGTGCCGCGATGGAAAGGCCAGTTTAGGTCTTAGAGTTGAATGAAACTTACTGGAAAGGTGAATGAAAGTAGGGCTTAGTTGAGGGTTGTAGGCTGAACCTTTGTCGGGCTGCTCTCGTATCCTGTTTTGTAGATGAGACTGATGGTTAGGGTTTTGAGATGCTTATTACAAGGACCTGGAGGGGGGAACCGTAGTCTGGAACTAAGAGCACGAGGGCAGCTCCAGATGGAGAACCAAGCTAATTTGGATGTGGGAATAGGACGCAGTCCTGGCATGCGGGATAGGTATGCATAGGTTCAAACAGGGGCAGGAGTCCGGCACCCACTAAGATCGAGTCTTGTGACACGCACGCTGGAATACCAGGCTGAACATCCGAATGCAAGCAATCACGAGGTGCATGTCGCCGTGGTCAGTGTGTTGCTCCTGATGATGATGCTGGTGATGATGTGCCACTGCAGCATACCTCCCCATCTCTTGCGTAGCATGTGCTCAGATGGTCAAAAGACTGGCAGCAAAGGAAAAAAACAGCATAGTATATTGCTGTGTTAGCCATGGTACGGGCGTCAAGACTATGTGCTTCACTCTGAATCGTGAAAATCTGATAGTGCCGAGAGTGAGAGTCAACGCCGTCCTCTGAGTCCAGGAGGGTGTGGATCCACGGCTCGCGAGCATGAAAGGCTGGAGAACCCGGAGTGGATAGGGACGGAGGTAGAATGGAGAAGCTTGCAGATATGGCCAATAGGTGGTTTTCTTGTAGGCATGCGGCTCTTGAGAGTAGCATGATAGTTCAGCGTTCGTGGCGGTGGCTGTGGGTGCTGTTGCCGTCGTTATTTTTGTTGCTGCACCTGTTGCAGCATGTCAAGGTCGTCCTGCACACCTCTCCAAGAGCATCGATGCCATCGAGATCGCTTGGGACAAGCCCTGTGACCGAGGCGACGCGGCTCAAGGGCTAAAGCGGGCTTGGAGGGTGCTGGGCTCGGTTCATACGCTGTGACGCCGAGTTTAGGATTCACCACATGTGTATCTCAGGCTTCTTTGATCGCATGGCAGCTGTGCATACCGAACAGCCGAATCATCATATCCGAATCACATCTCCGTGGTAGTATGGATGCATCCGAAACCGTCCTAGCCGTACTAATTATTAAGCGAGTAAGACATCTCGGATGAACAGGTTTCGGATGAGTGGAAACGTGGACATACTGAGTTCACGGCCTCTGACAGCCTAAGCTTCTATTCCTTGGGGGTACTTAGAAATAATTTTTAATCTTTGGCTACTATGATCCAGCTAAAATTATAATTTTTGCTAGGGGTCTAAGTTCAGTATAGATTCGAAGGCCACATGGACCGGTTATGCCGCAGCCTGGCTAGGGTCGGAGTTCGACCGATGATTTTGTCGGCATGAGCTGCTTATCGCTTGGGCATAACCTGCAACCGGTCATCATTTATTTAGTACACCATAGCCCAAAGTCCCTTATGGCCCCTAGATCACGGGATCGGGTCTCAGTTCAAGTCTGTATGAGTTTGAGGTTTGGGGCCGCAGCAGCTTGGAATCTGCACAGCCAGGCAGCGAGATCGAGACCTACGAATTTATGATCAGCCGGCCTCTTACCGGGGAGTTGTAGATTGTAGGTTTTGCGATGTTTCAACTCGGGTTCTGAAAGTGTGTGGGGTTCGGGTTTCAGTCTGAGTTGCGTGGTTCAGGTGTTTCAGCCAAAGCCAGCCCGTCCTCCTCAACTGCCTCAGCTTCCGCAGCGGTGCTTTTGCCGGACATTGCCGGATGCCCTCCTCCCCTCCCTCCCCTAAGCCAGAAAATGCCAAGAGAAGTCTCAAGGCTGCTTCAGGGCATCGGGCATTCAGCGCTGATGAGTCCTGAATCAGGTTCTTGGTGTAACGTAGAAGCTTGAATCATTACGAACAGTGATCATCCTAAAAAAGGGCTCCTTGCTGTTATAGTCATGCTATCATATACCCCAAGACCCTGTCCTACATTACTATATGAGCTTCCTAAGCCTTAAATCCTAGGTAGCATTAGGGAGACCCCTTAAAGGGGACCCTTCTTAACCCTACTCATGGCCC